GAGAGCTCTGACTCTTTCTGTGACTCTCTGAAGAAGGCAGAGTGGTGAAGAGTTCTACCAGCAAAGGCATTGGTTTATTACAAAGCAGCAAAAACTGGTTTGTTGGGAAACTTCTGTTAGAGTTGGGAACAGGGAATGTGTGACAATGACCATGTGGAATGCATACACCTGCCCACGAGAGTTCTGTGGCCTCCTGACCTACCTTTCCTTCCTTCCTTCTCTTTTTCTTCTCTCTCTCTCTCTCTCTCTCTCTCTCTCTCTCTCTCTCTCTCTCTCTCTTCTTTCTTCCATGTGTGGCACTGGGGAGGGACTGAACCCAGGACCTTCACATTAAGCTACTTCCCTTGCCCTTTTTCTTTTTATTCTGAGGCAGGGTCTTGCTAAGTTGCTCTGCTGCCCAGGCTGGGCTCAAACTTGTGACCCTCCTGCCTCATAGCAGAGTGCTGGGACTGCAGCCTCTTCAGCCTTTGGGCACAGGATAATTTTCTCTTCTAGACCCTGCAGTATAGGGTGAAGGGTATCAAAGCTCATGTTCCAAGGCTGCAGTTGAATCCTGATTAAATCCTCTTCCCTAAGCAGCTCTCAACTCCATTTTGAAAAGCTCTTTTCATGTTGCTTTATTGCGATTTTTTAAAAATTTTCATGCTATCTAGAGTTGGTGTCAAATCACAGAAATTAAGGCATCAGTCTTACCAGACTGCACCCCCCCACCCAAGATAGGCCTTTGGTGCTTCTGACCAGCCTGGTGTCCATCTCAGGTCTCCATGGCTCCCGCCTGGTTTTAATGATTTGTTGGAGCAACTGCCAGAATTCGGGGAACATCTCATTTATGCTTTCTGGTTCTCATGGAGACTTGAATGGCATATGAAGAAGCTCTTCATTTTTGAATTTCAAGCTTTGATAGTCTACCGTAAGACATTTTCGGGAGCTGTGATAACTGTGAAACATGTCGGCTCTTTGTTCTGGGTACCTGGTACCGAGTCCCTAAAACTCCTGGGACTTCCTGTGCGATAGGAAAAGGGAAGCCAGATAGCAGGGTGCACAGCAAGGGACACAGGGACCTTTGCTGCCCACTGATGCCCTGCCTCCCCACACCTGGGTGCGGTCAGCACCCAGCAGTTCATTAAGTCGCGGTGGCCAAGAGTTTGGGGAGCTCTCCGGGCCTTGCAGTCCAGGCAGGTGGGTAGCACTGCAAGTTCCACCTGGAATTGCCTGGGCTTCCTGGTGCCCAGCCCCACTGGAGGCTGTGCTGGGGACCCGGTCCTAATCACATCATTAGCATAAACTGGAGAGTCCAGAAGGGGTTCCTGGTGAGTAACAAAAGTCATTCCTATCACTCAGGAAATCCTAAAGGTTATGGAAACTCTGCACCGGGAACTAGGGACAAAGACCAAACACATGTGGTAGTCTACCATAGTTCCAGAAACGTATGATAGATTACCTAAGTTTGAGATTCAAAACAGAAGAGCTTGCTCTTAAGCCATTCAGGTCTGACAGACAGACCACTTCATAAAAGTACGAAAAACTATTCAGTGGTGACTTCTGTGCCATTCCTCCCAGTGCATCAGAGATTAAAATCGTACTAATAGCTTTTTCTTATTCCCACACCCTCTACCCCCATTTTCCTCAGTAATCACCCACCCTGGCACTCATTACATCTCACCTGTGGGAGGAGAATAATTTGGTTTCACTGAAAAAGGGCACGATCGGCTACTTTACTGCCTCTAATATCACCGACAAAATGGTCTCTGATTTTCTGTTTTTCAGTTTAATATGACCTTTCTGTGTAGTGAATAAAAATGTGTTCATCAACCCATCTCAGTGAATTTTCTTTCTGGAGATAAATCTGCGATTCCATGAAGAGACTTCCTCATAATATTAACACGGCTGAGTCACCAGCAGCCTGTGATTCATCAACGTGACAGGGCTTGAGTCAGCCAGACCCTGAGCTGTGTTATGGTTTGTGTCTGGACGTCCCCCTAAAGCCTCATGCAGTCATGGGGTGGGGGGCTTCTAGAGTTTTTGACTGATCCATGGCCCGATGCTGGGACCATAGGTGTGAGAGCTACACCCGCCCTGGGGCTGGATGCCCGCATACAGTGTAAGGGAGGGAAAGAGGCTTGCTCTTTCCACTGCCCCTCCCATTTTGCTCTTGTTTTTGCTGTTTTCCACTGCCATGAACTGTCGCCCTCTGCCCTGTGCCACTCTTCCTTGGAGCCAGCCGAGTATGCACTGAAATCTCTACAAACTGTGAGCTAACCTGTCCTTCCTTAATTCTGGGTGTCAGGTGTTTTGTCTCAGCAACAAGAGAAAAGTAACTAAGACAGTGTGACAGGGCCAGGACAAGGGGTGCAGACCTCTGCGCTTGCCGTGCGCAGCAGGGAGCAGGTCAGCAACAGGACCAGAGCAGGGCCTGCTGGGTGAGGAGGAGGCCGGATCTCCACAGAACAGCCAGGACCACGAGGGCACTGTCGCTGAGACAGCCACAGGGCCAAAAGGGTGTCTGTTATGGTTGATACACTGTGTCAACTTGGGGAATCTAGAGGTTTGGCTAAGTGACTCAGCAGTTCTGTCTCTTGGGATGAAAAGGACACGCCGTTACCCTGCTGGGATGTTGTTTGTTGCGTTAATTTGAGAATTTTAGAAGGTTAACTATGCAACTCAGAAGGGGTCCAGGGTGTTTACTTTGTATTCATCCTGAGCCTGTGCAGGAGGCAGGCTGGAGGACCTCAGGCAGGTGTGGAGGACCACCCCCACCTCCCCAGAGCAGGTAGACTGCATAAGAAAAGGAATTGAGGAAGGGCTGGCTGCTGGTTCTTCAGAGGAGCTCCGGTCTTCGCCTTCAGCTTGGTCATCTCCTGGCTTCTGGTGCAGACTGTTGGGCTTCCATCTGGACTCTTCAGCCTTCTGGTGTTGGCTCTCTGGCCTTCATCCTTCATCGTATATTCTTCAGCATTCCGTCGCAGACCCGTCAGCCTTTTGATACAGACTTGCAGGGACCCTGCAGCGAGCTCCAGGCCCAGGGCTGGGCTCTTCAACCTCCAGCATGCAGACACCCTCTGCGCGGTTCCTCATCCAACTGTGTAGCTGACCATTGTAAGCCAAACTTGTAATTCCTTGTACATTTGTTTATCTTGTATTATAACTGTTCCTCTAGTAAACCCTGACTGATACAGTGTCACACCAAAGGGTGAGACCAAGGGACTCCTGAAGTGAAAGTGTCACTGAGCCATTGTGGGTGCTAGCCAGAAGGCGGGGCCTGGGTTCCCACGTTCGTGAAGCTGCCAGCCACAGTTCTCAGTGGCGGCTGCAAAAATGCCCACCAGATTCAAAGCTGAGAGCAGTGAAGGAATCTGGGGAAGGGCAGAGCATGTCGTTCACACAGAACCTGCTGGCTGTGGTAGGACAACGTGAGGACCGGCAGGACAATATGAGGGGGGAAAGCTGGGAGGAGGACAGTGATGCAGGGAGCTCCAGCACCGGGCGCGCCTAACATTTCTGTGTGGTCAGACACAGAGCGGCAGTTGGCGCTGACCAGACTCTGTGGAGGCTCCCACCTACATTCGGGCAGGAAAAGCAGTGTTTCTGTCCTTACGCTCATGGCCGCTAACTTCCCTCTTCTCTGTCCTCGCTGTCTTCAGCCCTTGTGATGAAGGGTAGGACATCTTGGAAACCATCTTTTGTCAGAGGAGATGAGAGAATTTTACAGAAGCAGCAAAAGAATGTGTCAGGTGTGAGCTTGTTTGTGAAATCTGGAAATCAAAGCAGTTCTCGACTTGGCACTGTAAAACAGTCTTTTCACCAGAGTGTGTTGTAAAAATGGAAATACTCATTCCCAAGGGACGGAGGCAGGAAATACAGCTGAGTTCAAGGAAGCCAGAACAATGGGAAGCTTGGAGCAAGCACGTAGGGTTGGAGCAGTGCAGGTCTCGGTGTGTTTCCACCGCAGCGCTCCTGGGGAGCACGGGGAGCACGGCGAGCCGGTGGCCGAGCGGGAAGTGACTTGGGGTGATGCCCCATGCAATGAAGCACTCGGGGAGGTGCCACAGCGCTGCACCCACCTCAGAGCCGCCTCCGAGCTGGAAGCTTGTCCCCGCCATCATGCACGGCCCGTGGGGTGGAGATGAACACAGCTTTCTGGAGCACAGTTCAGCGATATTGTGGAACTGTTCCTTCAGTGTGTGCAGAATGAGATGTGTGTGGAAATGTAGAATCGGGGTTACCCTCTATGACGCTGCTACCGGTATAGAAAAAATAGCATTGACTTGATTTGCACATGAAAAGCTTAATAAATTAAGTCCTGGTGGGCAGGTTAGGAGCAAGGGGATAGGTAGAAAGAGGCAAGGACATTATACTTCTGCGGTTTTGTGCTTAAGGGACAAGCTGCCCAAGGTTACGGAGATCTGCTCTCCCCGGGCGTGTTCCTTTGGCTTGTTTGTCCTTCTCTTCCAAGCCCCTTGTGCCCCACCCCTGAAAGATACTACAGGTCCATAAATTAGCTTGGCTGAGGCCAAACATCTGAGGTCACCTGTCTCAAAAATACGGAAGGTGCAGGGCCACACCTTGTTCCTGCGAAAGGGACCTTTATCTTTCCACCTGGGTGTGGGCCATGCTCTTCTCCCAAACTTTCTACAGATTCATAAATTCCCAATGGCCCTGTCTGGTGACATATGAAGTGCAATAAATATAACGAAATGTTAGTTGACCACCTAAAATGGTTATGTAGAAGGTAATGAATGATATGGTGAAATACTGTCTGCAACATACTACTAGGAGAAAATAACAAAACACTTCATATGATATGGCTCATTGGGCAGAGTCTCCTGGCCATCTATCTAATCTGGTCTGTATTTTTTATATCAAATAAAAATTTCAGGCCATGCCTGTAATCCTAGCACTTGGGATGCTGAGGCAGGGGAATTGCTGTGAGCTCAAGGCCAGCCTGGGCTACAAAGTGAGCCCAAGACCACCCTGAACTGCACAGTGAGACCCTGTCTCAAAAAGACAAAAAACTTTTTTTTCGTTGCATGTCCCTAAGGCTCACCTCCACCGCCCCTTCCTTCACAGAGATCACGTGAGCCCCTTCCCCCGGCCAGGGCCTTCCTCCCACTCCTCTGTGTGCCAGAGCACTTTCTCCTGACCTGCTTTTGGGAACGTACATCCTCTGAACTGTGTCACATCTTTCTTCAGAATTTAATAGCCTTCAAATGCCTCCAGAACCTAGAGAATTCATCTCTCCACTTCCCTTAAATGAATAAAAGTGCTTTTTTTTCAGAGAATGAGAGCTCTTCTTCTCTCCTGACTGTGTGCCTGGAGAGCAAGCTGGCGTAAGTCTGTCCAGCGCTCTGGGCACCATGTGACCCTGCCTCCGCCCTCTGGGTGGGGTGCCTGGCCTCCTCCACCTCCTGGGGACCCTCCTGGAGAAACTTCAGAGCAGAGTGCAGTTCTGTTCTGAATGTCCACCTCAAAGTTGTGTTCTTTTGTAGATGAGGTAAAGCCTTCAGTTTTTAATGAGATTGGTTTGTTTGGTTTGTTCTCTAGTCTTTCATATGATTTTATGTTTCATTTTATATATTATATTTCATTTAAGTCCATTTTTTCTGCTCTTTTATTTTGCATTTCTTTTGGTATTTAGAAAAATCTGCATTTTTGTTCTAGTCATTGCCTTTTACCAATGCTCTCTATAATGTTCGTAGGTCTCTTTGCTTACTTAAGTTTGTTCAGTTTTAAATTATTCCCTTTTGCTCCTGTTACCAGGGTGGTAATCACTTAGATCACTTTGTTTCCCCATTCTGTCTCCCATCCCGTAATTTTAACTGTGTTATTCCTAATTTCTAACATGATATGCACAGAATAAGATTCTACCATTTGACTCTTAGATCTACAAATAAAATTTACTTAATAATTCTCACAAGTCTGTTTGTAAAATGTTCTCCAGGGTGGACTTTGCTCTCAGGAAGAGCTTGTGAATGTGGAACCCCACAAGTCCCTGTGTGTCTGGAACCTGCACACTCGAAGGCCCGCTTGGCTGGATGTGAAGTCTTTGGGTCATGTTCTTAAGTATTCTGCAAACGTTCCTTTGTCATCTTGACCCACATGTTGCTGTGGACAAAGGCAATGCCACCCTGGTTTTATAAATTATTAATAGAACTAATATTTTGGCTGGAAACCTGGGAAACGTTTCTGCTTTTTTTTCCTTTTTTTTTTTTAGTTTAATAGTATTTATCTTGTGTATAACATTTTTGGGTCAATTTTCAATGTTTATATTCATGCTTTTTTCTCTTTTAAAATATTTTTAGACTACAAATTTTTTTGTTTTGTTTTATTTTGTTTTCCGGTACTGGGAACCGAACTCATGACCTTGCGCTTGCCAGACAGGTGCTGTGCTGCTGAGCTAAATCCCCAGCCCCTAGACTACAAATTTATGGAATGATTGTGCTCAACTCGAAGAGGATTCTTCAGAGACTTCAAGCATGTATGTATATGTTCATGATTTCTTATCTGTCTTCTGTCTCTATTACTTACTTTCTCTTAATTCTTTTTCTTTCTTTCTTTCTTTTGCTTTAATTCTTTCAGTTGCTTTAATTCCTCTCTTCAATGCCTCTCATTATCTTTGGGACAAATTTATCCTTTTTTGTGTACATTGCAGTTTAGTTCACTTCCGAGATGTTTTTGCCTTTTCTATAATTTCTTTCTTGAGTTTGGTCAGCTTCCATTTCACATGTCTTTCCATTGGTCACATTTCCTATTATAAGTTTAAAATTTCTGATTCAAGATGATTTTAATAATTATAGATGTATGTTTATCAATATTTAGTATTTAGGTTGTGATGTCATTTTTATTGTTGTTGCTGTTTCCTGGTTGGTATATAGGGAAAATATTACTAGGTAAAGATTTTTATTTCCATTTGAATTTTTTTTTTTTTTTTTTGTCTTTTTGAGACAGGGTCTTGCTATGCAGTTCAGGGTGGCCTTGAGCTCACTTTGAAGCCCAGGCTGATCTTGAACTCATAAAGAACCTCCTGCCTCAGCCTCCCAAGTGCTGGGATTACAGGTGTGTGCCACTATGCCTGGCTTCCACTGGAAATTTTTAAATTCTCATTTAAAGTTCTTCTTATAAAAGAGGTATATAAATGCTGCCTACTATTTTATGTTTAATTTTGAAATGCTTATATATTTTTGGGACCACAGATAATATGCAAAACAAAGTGTGGATAACTCTAAGGCTTTCTTTTTGAGACCACACTCCTTGCTAGTGTGCAGGAGAGCATTTTCTTCAAGGGTGGTGCCCTGGAGTATAAGGAGAGAGGATTGGTTAGCTCTGCGATTTCATGCAACTTTTGCTTTTCTAAGACCCTTAATTTCTACCTCTGACCTCTTTCCTACCTTGGAGGTTCTGAGAGACCCTCTCTTTCCCCTATCCTGCAGGCAGTAACTTCCACATTTGGCCCTGGGCACTGCCAGGCAGCTTCAGTTCCACTTCCCTGTAGCCACTCAGTCCCATCAGTGCTGTGCCCAGGCTCAGCAGGGTTGAGATCTACACGCATCTCTCCCTACTCGGGTGGGACCATGCCTTTCTTCCCTCTATGCTTCATTACGACCAGGCTGCTGCTGTGCTGTGTTCTGCACAGCTGCTGGATGATGTTTAAGTGTGAGTTCTGGAGCTGGTGCTGTTTCGCACCTGTATTTCCCTCTTTATATATAAGGAGGGACCACCCGAGGTGATGTCAGCCTGAGTGGAGTAAGACGTACCTAGCAGATTACTGAATTACAGTGTTGGAGGGGTCTGCGGTGACTGACGAGCAGAGGGGAGATTCCATGGCTTCCGGCCCTTTGCTGAGGCCGAGCATCATGGCAGGAGCACAGGGAGGAGCAGCGCTGCTCACCTAGTGCCACACGGAGACGGAGGTGAAGAGAGAAGTGGCCAGGGCCCGTGCCCTTTCCAGAGCGCACCTCACAATGACCCGGCTTCCTCCCACTGAGCTCCTGTTCCAGAAGGCTTCTTTGTAAATGTTGCTGTCAGGATTGGGTGGCACCAGCCAATAGGCTTGTAGTGTAGATGGAATAAGAAGGGAAAAAAGGAGGTGATTCTACAGAGAGAAGCTGCAGTCCTCAGTCACTGTGTCCTTAGCAGCCGTCATCTTTGGACACACGTGTCCATTTCAGCCTTCCAACTCAGACTCACCCCGCAGCCCTCCGGGGAGCTTTCAGGCCTTTGACCTTGGACTGGCGCTGCATTCCTGATCTGTCTGTCCTGCAGCTTCCAGCTTCTTGGACTGAGCAGCTGTTGGATCCTCCAGTGTGCACCGGCCATCGTAGACTCTCCCACCTCTGATCCCAGAAGCTGACCCTGTGGCAGAAAATGTCCCTCCCCCCAGCAAGTATACTTCAGTTTCTTAGTTGCCCAGGTAACAGTTCCTGTCTCTTAGAAACAGCTGGTCACTGTGATGCATACTGTAAGAACCAGTCCCCAACTGACAAGCCATTGTGCCTCTGTATAAGCCCTAGACCCCCAGAGATCAGGGCCTGATATTCTGGGCATGATCCCGGTCAGTGCCTGTCCATGTGAATAAATCTGCCTCCAGATCCTGGGTGTCATTTCTGTGTTTCTGCTCGCTGTTGCAGCCTAATGATTACACACATGTTTTCATCGAGTCTGTTCCTCCAGGGGCCCTAACTAATGCACTGCTAGTCGTCTCTGGCACCTAATGGTCTGCAGGTGGGATTCTGGGGAACCCAGGGTCTTTTCACTGAGTTGCATCCCCAGCCATTTTTAAATTTCTATTTTGAGACAGTTTCACTAAGTTGCTGAATTGCCCAGGGTTGGCTTGAATTTACAATCCTCCTGCTTCAGCCTCCCAGAGTGCTGGATTATAGGCATGTACTACCATGCTCACCTAATTATTATACAGTATGGCTTAGGTATGATTTCTCCTGTATTCTCTCATTTAGCCCCTCGCCATTACCTTACAAAACCCTGTGTTACTCATACAATTTTGGATGCATCAATTTTTCAGAGATGCCTGTGTTAATCAGGTGCAAAGTAGGACATTTCTGGCATAAATTTGGGAGTCTGTGTGTTGGGCCTCAGAATCTTGCCTTCTCGGCTTTCTTTCCTATTCATGGGGCAGCTCTTGATGAGAATCAGTTGAACCTCTTCAGGGAACTGGATCCTTGGGAATGTCTACCATAGGCCTTTTAAGTCCTGAAGTTCTATAGTAAAATAAATCTCACTAACGCTTAATTAACAAGAAAATGCAGTTAATGGAAAAGTATCATACTGTAAGATCAATTTTTTATTCCTTAAATTTTTCTCCTTTCTTTATATTCTAGCTGCTCATGTAAGCAACCATTAGCAACACAGGGAGCAAGGCACAGAGGAGAATTCATTACTGTGGATTGTGGACCCTTATTTGCATGCTAAGCTAAAATCTCTAACTGACCCAGATAGTTTTATTCTACCAGATAACTTCTCCCTGAAACAGAACTTCATGAATGCTTCCTCTTCAGAATCATCATTTTCTGAAGGCTCTTTGCTAGACCTGCTATAAATGGCTCCACAGAGTTCCCTCCTGCTTCTCACTAATTGGCTTCTGTAGCTCTGTCTACAGTCACAAAGTTTAAATTCCCTGCAAGTGTCTGGTCTGATGCTCTTTACATGAAAACAAGAAACCTTTTCTAATCATGATGCATCTCAGCATAAACACAGTGTTGTCACTTTTTGTCCCTAAAAGCTTTAAAATCCATTTTCTCACAGTATTCATTCTTACTAAGCTAAGTTGGGCAAGCATTCTCCAGAGTGTTGATAAAACTAGATCTACTTGATACAACTACACTTATAAGAATTATAATTCATATTTAGCCTTCTCAGACAAAAATGCACATTATCCACCAGATCCCTCAAAATCTGTAATTAACACAAACTGAATTAACTCAATTCATTCTGAGTCAAAAACAAGGTACTTGTGAGTATCAGAGGCGAGGGCTGCTTAAGCGCCAGGGAGGGGCCTTTGCGCCCAGCTCGTGTGTCTGTTTCATGGTTACTAACACTGCTGGTCACTGGCCACATGAGCTGTGACTTATTTAACTGAGGTTCTTGGCCCCTGTGGTGGGAACATGAGGGAATTCACAGGGTAGGGAAGGAAGGAAGAAGTGGTTTAAAGGTTTGGGACACGGCCAGGTTCCTCCAAGACATCTGGAGAGTTAACCCCACCTTCCAGTCTCTGTAAAGGATAAGGGTGAATAAGAGGGCTCAAGCAGAGAGGAGGTGACCGGGGTGTCACTGTGATCCCACAGGGGACCAACCTGACTCTAAGTCTAGTCAATGATTTTCCCTTCTTGATGCCATGACCTGGCATGGGGAAAAGGAAGCCGCCTCTAAACACCCCTGGGATGGGTTCCCCTGGGTTCACGCTCCACCCACAGACATGTGGCCAGCAACAACGATCTCTCTGCTCTAAAGAGTACTGACTGCGCATGCAGGCGGCACTGGCAATGGAGGCCCAGGTGGGAACCCCTACCACGGAACCATTTCAAACCCTAATCTTCTCTGAGCCCCACCTGTCTCCCAGGTGAGCATCTCATACCAGCCCAGGAGGTCGAGACTAAAAGGAGTTAATAAACCACCTGGTGTAAGAAAACCAATAGGCTTTGGAGCAGAAAGGACCCGGGTGTAGCTGAATCCAAAGCCAAATTGCCTTGGGATCCAACACTGGATGGAAAGAGCAGGTCCTTTATCACCCACACAGGTGCCTCACCTGTTCCAACCACAGGTGTGCTGCTCAGAGCCGGAGCTAAAACACTGGCCTTGCAGAAACAGCCTGAAGGTGGAACAAAGAATGTATGGAAACACCAGCAACTGTAGCCAGCTAGTCTCCACTGACTGACATCAGTGGCCATCTGATTTTTATATCATTAAGTCAAAAACCATTTATTGAGCTGACAGTATGAGCCATCACCAGTTTGCTGTCACTGGCTTTGTGCTAGGCACAGTGCCTTGTAATTTCTATGTTACTTTATGCACTCCTTGCAACAATCCTACAATGCAGGCATTATCATTACTTCATTTTACAGGGGAGGAAAGATGTCAGAGCCTCTGAAAATGAATATGCTCAAAATGTTTCACTAAATGTTTAGCCATTTGCTAAGTTTTTAAGGACTTTTTAAAAGTTTATTTTTGCATCAACACTTTGCCTGTCCTTGCCTTGTCTTTTACGTGTTCTACCTCTATCTTTTAAATAAGCAGCATTTCTCTTATTACGAAATGCAGTGTTATATGGAATTATATGCTCAGGAATTTCCTCACATGGGGAAATCATGCATTGAGCAATCTTGTCCCAGTGTATTTACCAGAGAGTTTATGAAGAATTGTTATTCAGTTAAAATATCATTGATTGATTAGTAGGTAACTGGATGAGTTCATTAAAAGCTGTTCATTTACGACAAACAGAATTTCAGCTGACTGACCCCGGACAGGGTCAGCGGCCATTTTTCCCCGTCGTTATTGTCGGTGATGTCTCACCAGTTGGGGGGCGGTTGCTGACAGTAAATGCCGTGGGTGATGCAAGTGCCCAGCGTGTGCAGAGTTTAAAACAAATCTTTTTGATCTCAAGGCCCTGTGTCCAGGGTGGAAAAGAAGATCTGGCAGCTGCCCAATACCGTTTTCATAAAGAGGCCCACAGTGTGCTTCGTTTTACCATGGACGTGACTGGCAAAGTTGACTTCTCATAACAGAAAGAGCAGGGCTGGCCTTGTTTCCCTTCACTCTGTCCTCTGAGCTGCATGTACTGGAACCATCACACCCCCCACTTTCTCACTGCCCACCCCAGCTCTGTGCACATGATTTTGTATTTCTTAGACGCCAAGGCAGAGCGTGTTAGTCAGGCTCCCATGACTCTGCCTGACACTCGAGCTAATCAGCTGGTAAAGAGGAAGGTTTACTTCGGATCAGTTCTGCAGCCCAAGACAAGTTGGCCCTGGCTGGGTGAGGCAGCACATCACAGTGCGTGTGGTTGGCAGAGCTAAACCAGCGGCCAGGAAGCAAAGGAAGAGGAAGGAGCTGGTGTCCCTGGTCCCCTAGGGGGCACGCCCAATAACCTAAAGCCTCCCGTGGGCCCCTCTTAAAGGCTTGTGCATCTCTCCATGGTACCTCCCTGGGGACCAGTATGGCCTTTGGGGGGCACTGAAGACCCAGCTGTAGCTCACCTCCCACCTCATCCAACCTTCCACTCTACCCAGCGCTGGCACCATTATGTCTCACCCAACCCTAAAACCGTCTCCCACTCCCGCCCTGTCCTCGGCCCATCCTCCTTCACATCACAAGCAGAATGACCTGTCCATAGAATGAACGCTGTGCGGTGTTCTCTGCAGCTCAGATGTGCTGTAGCTCCTTGTCACCTTAGAAAGAAGCCCTCGTGAAAGTGGGTGGCCCTCGAGCACCTCACAGTTTCCCCAGGGCCTCTGCTCCTCAGCGTGATTAGGGCAGCACTCAGAACAGCTCCTTCACCTCCTCTCTCGAGCCTTCATCTGCTGCTCCCTCTGCTCGGCCCCCTCAGTCCTGCCCTTCCACATCACCGAGGTGTGGACTTCTGTGCTCTCCCCCGAGAACACACTGCACCCGCCGCCTTCACAGAAGACGGCTCCTTCATGGGTCAGGCTCACTGGGCAGGCAAAATAAGTACTCGTCTAAGGAGTGAACGAAGGGAAAATGATGAGAAATTTGGTTGTGGAGACTGGGTAACTTGGACCCCTCAGGTGAGGACAGCTACAAATAAAGGAAAAATTCCTGAAGACATGGAATAGCTAGTAAGGTACTGAAGAAAGCTAAGGCCAAGATCCAGGTATAGTGCAGGCCTAGAGATTTATGCCCAGCTTCTTTTATGAGTTCCGCATAACCCTGATACCACACTCTGATGCAGAGTAAACAGAAAACATGGTGAACCTCTTCAACAGAGGTACAAATTCCTGGATACTGGCACCCTGAATCCGGCAATATTTCACAATGGTAGTAAGTATTGGCCAATGGTTTTATTTCAAGAATGCATGGTCAATTTAATGCTTGAAAATCAAGCCAAAAAATCCTCTATATTAATAAAATAAAGCAGAAATAATCATACAACCATTTCAATAGATGCAGAACCATTTTAATGCAATTCAGCACCTAGTACTTTGAAAACTAGGAATAGATTTTTTTAAAACTTAGATAAAAGATATCTGCAAAATACTTTCGGCAAACAAAACACTTGAACATCACACAGCGAAAGATTTTCCCTGGGACTGGAACTAGGTCAAGGGTGCTCACTTTCACTGCTTTTATTCAGCACTGTTTTGAAGGTCCTCATCAGGGCTGTGGGATGTAGAAAATTCCTGGAGACTGAATATGACTAGAGAAAACCGACATTATTCACAAGTGGTACACTTTATGCAAAAGTATCTGAGGCTTTAAAAACCCAATATCCGTGTTAGTTTTCTATTTCTTCATAGCAGAGCACTACAAATCTAACAGCTTAAAGCAAGCAAGCTACATTTGCTCTCACAATTTCCTTGGGTCAGAAGTCCAGGCAACCTCAGCCGGGTCCCCTGCGTCA